TAGATGGGCAAGTGTTGGATTCCTTCTGCACGAACCAATACTGCGCTTACTGCGTGCTGAGAGACTGCCAGGTACAAGAAGAGTTCTTCACCGGGTACTGGGGTAACAAGCAGTGGTGGGGAAGACATATATTCCTTCAGGCTTTCCAGAGCTTGGTCGCATTCTTCATCCTATTCAAACTTGGTCTTTAAGGCATGAAAAAATGGTCGTAGTCTGTCTGACGACTGGCTGATAAATCGGTTGAGTGCAGCCGCCATGCCGGTGAAATGTTGTACTTCTTTTACTGAGTTTGGTCTCTCCAAATCCTGGATTGCTTTGATCTGAGAGGGGTCTGCTTCTATACCTCGGTTGGTCACAAGGAAGCCTAGGAATTTGCCAGATCCTACTCCGAATGCACATTTGGACGCATTGAGGCGTAATTTGTGCTTCTTCAGGATCTCAAACATTTCGCCTAGGTGCTTAAGATGGTCATTCTCATCCTTGCTCTTGACCACCATGTCGTCGATGTAAGCCTCCATTGTTCTGCCTAACAATGGTTCAAACATCTTAGTGACCATCCGTTGGAATGTCGCCCCTGCATTCTTTAGGCCAAAGGGCATGGCCTTGTAACAGTATAGTCCTCTTGGAGTCGTAAAGGACATGACCTCTTGGCCTGGTTCATGCATGACGATTTGGTGGTAGCCTCTGTATGCATTTAGGAAGCTAAGTCGGTTGTGCCCCGCCGTTAGGTCCACCAGTTGATCTATCCGTGGTAGAGGAAAGCTGTCTTTTGGGCATGCCTTGTTGACTGTTTTGTAATCGATACAGACACGTCATTTGCCATTCTTCTTTGGCACTACGACCGTGTTGGAGATCCATTTCGGGTAATGCACCTCTCTAATTGCTCTTGCCTCCAGTAGGTTACCTACTTCTTCCGCCACTATTTCGGCATGGTGGAGTGCCGATCTACGTGTTTGTTGGATGATTGGTCTGGCGGATGGGTGGACATTAAGTTGGTGACTGATGAAGTTTGGATCAATGCCTGGCATGTCGTAGGGTGTCCAGGCGAACACTTCGATATTAGAGGTCAAGAATTCCAAGACCTCTAATCTCTCAGTGCTGGACAACGACGAACCGAGCAAGAAGAACTTATCCAGGTTCTTTTCATCTATTTTTACCTCCACCAAGTCCTCCACTGCTTTCTGATCAGCCTCTTTGCCGACATCCGCGAATAGTTCATTGCTTTCAGGTTCTTTCACCGAATGAACGTATCCTTTGGCAGCGCGGTTGCCATTCACCGTGGCGAAACATTGCTTTGACATGATCTGATCCCCATAGACTTCTTCAATTATACCGGTGTCGTTGGGGAACCGCATTACTTGGTGGTAGGATGACGCCACCGAATGCATGGCATGCAGCCATGTTCTGCCCAAGATGATGTTGTAAGTGGAGGGGACCTTCAATACCCAGAACTCCACTTGTTTCGTCACGCTTCCTGCTCTGACTAGAAGAATTATTTTGCCGACAGGCCACTCTGGCATGGA